CGACCCCCAAAACTAAAACCCTACAGCCCTAAACCCTAAACCCTAAACCCCTAAACCCTAAACCCTAAACCCCCAAACCCTAAACCCTAAACCCTAAACCCCTAAACCCTAAACCCCCAAAACTAAAACCCCACAGTCCTAAGATCTCTAGGATCTGGCATCTCTGAAACCCTGCCGTCTCCAAGATCCGTACGGTTGCTGGTATAAATCCTTAGGGTTTAGGGTTTAGGGTTTAGGGCATTACCCATAAAAGGGAATATACCATGATTCCCATAGTTTAGGGTCCTTAAGGTAATGCAGGATTTATATCATCAGCAGTAGAACCTGGAACCGAGAAAATCCCTAGACCCATTTGAACCCCCTAAAGCTCAAAACCCAAAGTTCTAATCCCGAAACCATAGACTTAGACCCCTAAGCCCTAAACCCCTAACCCCAAACCTTAAACCCTTAACCCTAAACCCCTAAACCCTAAACTCTAAGCCCTAAACCCCTAACCCGAAACCCTAAACCCCAAACCCAAAACCCTCAACCCTCAAACCCTCAAAGTCTCGGGCTCCCCGGGCCAGTCGCAGGAAAGGTTAAAACTTGCCTTGGCCCCTGTGTCGCCTGCAGCTGCTGCCTCGAAGGTCTCAGACTTTCGATGCCAAAAAGCTGGGGGCGTTCCGGCCTGGCTATGCAGAATTCGAGCATGAGAATGCTTGAATTAGAAGACTCTGCCCTGATGCCTTACGCAGTATTTGATGAACCACCAAACAGAAGTCATGAGAAAAAACACTCGGAAAGGGTCATTCATGTTCTGTCAGAAGGCACTCGCTAGCATCGCTACCACTAGATTATTAGAGGGGCCCTGCCCATCACACATCTCATCCGTCATACTCGCCCTCCTCCTCGTCGAACTCGCCTTCCTCTTCGGCAGTCGCATCCTGATACTGCTGGTACTCGGAGACGAGGTCGTTCATGTTCGACTCGGCTTCGGTGAACTCCATCTCATCCATGCCCTCACCCGTGTACCAATGCAAGAAAGCCTTGCGCCGGAACATCGCGGTGAAGTACTCTGCAACCCTCTTGAACATCTCCTGGGTAGTTCCCAAAATTAGGGTCCCTTTTAGGCTCCTTTTTTATAAGGCTTCCCTTACTATATTGGGGACCTACAAGAAGGGACTCTAATTTAGATAACTACCCTCCTGGATGGCGGTGGAGTTGCCTGCGAAGGCCACGGCCATTTTGAGTCCTTTCGGAGGGATGTCCTTGGATGAAACCATCCGCATCGAGGCTGCTGTGTGGGGTTTAGGGTTCAGGGTTTACGGTTTAGGGTTTTCCAAAATGTCAACCCTGCATCCTTCCCAATATAGGGGCCTTAACAATAGGCTCTTGGTGTAGATTGTAACGTAGGCGTATTCGGGACATCTGGTATTGTTCATTCCTACCCGAAGCCCGTGATCCCACGACTCTCAAACTCTGCTTGTGCGCGAACCTTCTGATTCTCTCCTGGTGCTTCCAAGGGTCACAGACGGATGCCTTGATGTTGTTCGGGATCCACTCCACGAAGTACGACGAGTTCTTGTTCCTTGATCTTTGAAACAAGCATCGCATCAAGTAGTAGTAATGTCCCCTGATACCTCCACATTGAACCCCACCGAGATGCGACGAAACCGTTAGGGTTTAGGGGTTCAGAGCTTCGAGCTTAGCGTTCGATAGAGCTCCGAGCTGCCTGAAGCTTAGGGTTTAGGGTTTAGGGCTTTATAGATCTATGGGGTTGAGGGGTTTGGGTTTAGGGCTTTGGGGTTTGAGACTATCTAAGGCCTGCATATTGAAAATATGTAAAAATTGCATGTCCGGTATCGTATAATATAAGTGTACTGTACAGGGGCAGCAGGGGCGATATACGCACCAATTAGGGAGGCCCCTGTTTCATGCGATTCAACGCAAGATGAATTTGACAAGCTCAACTGCCAAGGTGCTGAACGTTGAGCAATTGTTCATCCACCTCTTTGGTGGACATTCGGCCACGGAAGAGGGCTGCCGCCGTCAGGTAGCGGCCATGACGGGGATCCGCTGCACACATCATGTTTTTCGCGTCAAACATCTGCCTAAGTAGCCAGGAAAAGTAGGAAGCCAAAGAAGGGCAAGAAGCCGCGTCGTCACCCCTCCGAAGTAGTCCGAAATATGTTGTGCTTGAAGATTGGCAGAAGTGGGGAATCGTTGAGGACATGTTTATGTCTCGGAGAGGTTCCGAAGATCAGGCTGTGTTGTGGGGGACGCTTAGGAGAGAGTCCGAAACCTCGCGACCTCTCCTCCCTAAACCCTAAACCCTAACCCCTAAACCCTAAACCCTAAACCCTTCAGCTCAGCAGCTGCGTCAGCTCCGGAACTGTCAGAGCCCGGTACTGCTGCGAGCCACGGGATGTCAAAGGGGCGAAGCCCGTCCTGGTTCGAGGTTCACGGTTTGGGGTTTAGGGTTTGGGTTTTAGGGTTTAGGGTTCTGGGTCTAATTCACGGTTTGGGGTTTAGGGTTCAGGGTTTACTGGTTCCCTGTTGGGGCTATACTATATTAAGAATGATCAGTTTTAATCCTTATTGGGCTTTATTATAACAAAAATGTAAAATTTCATCCAAGAAGGACCCAGCGTCATGAAGAAGTGCAGCCGCGGGAAGGGCACCAGGTTCACGGCGATCTTGCGCAGGTCGCAGTTCAGCTGCCCGGGGAAGCGCAAGCAACACGTGACGCCGCTCATGGCCGCAGACACCAGGTGGTTCAAGTCACCGTAGGTAGGTGTCGTAAGCTTCAAAGTTCGGAAGCAGATGTCGTAGAGGGCCTTCAAGGAAAGCATGACTTGCCAGGGCACCTATCGAAAACCGTACACCGCCTTCAACTGCAGCACGTGAAATGACTTGTCCTTGCTTTGTGAACCCACAGGCAACCTTAAAGCAATGAGCTCTAAAGCCGATTCTCAACAGCCCAACACCCTTCAGATATATATATATATACACTTACCATAAGCCATGGGTTTAGGGTTTAGTAAAGGAGTTATCCCCATGTTTTCTGAAGGATTTTCCTTACTCTGGTGGTGCTGGAGGCAGTGGCTATCGTGAACTCTCCTCATTGTCCACTAAACCCTAAACCCTAAACCCCTAAACCCTAAACCCTCTAAACCCTAAACCCCTAAACCCCTAAACCCTAAACCCTAAACTCCTCATTGTCCAGCAAGAAAGACTCGTCGGAGTTCTCAACGAGCTGGTGAAAGCTTAGCACAGCCTCGAGTGGTGAACACCACCCTAAAACATTTAAACCTTAAGCACCAGAAAGGTAGAGTCGTGAAGAATCAGAATGAAGCCTCGGTAGTGCATGCCATAACTCGCCACCAAACTGCACAGGATTGCTGGCTTGGGGGTTTATGGCTTTGGGATTTAAGCTTTACTAAGGGTTTGGGCCCCTAACAGCATAAACATGTTAAAGAACCTTAAGACAGCGTGATGCTTAATATTCAGGCCAGCTTTGCGGTAAGATCCTAGAGTTGTAAAACAAGGAAGCAGATATGTTCGAGACTGTGGCGTTTAGGCTTAGTATTGGGATTCTGTGCTTTGGCTCATTTCGGGATTCGGGGTTGTGATTTATGGCCTGCGTCTTCAGGTTTCTCAAAAAATACCATTCGACATCATCTGGCTAGCTTGGCAGAGGTTCTATTCTTGATGCAGCGACACTCGAAATCTTCTCCCAATCCTACTGTTGGAGGAGCTTCGGGTGCGGGCTGGAATTACGAAAACTTACGTTGCCGTCTTCCAAGGCTCTGACATTGCAGACGCTAGAGCGGTGGACTGATAAATGCAATCCACGCAGCATTGTACGGCTCCACGACTGTGTCGGAAACTTTGGGACTAGGGATCACCGAGAACGTCTCCATGATTCGGTCAGGGTACTCCTCGTGCAAGATCGCACACACACACACACACTCACTTCGCTGCAACACGAGACAACAAAAATCTACAAACACATCACACATTTTACTCTACTCTTATATGCTATACTATGCCAGACTATACCGTACTGTACTGTACTGTACTATGCTGCATTAACATTAATTCTACTGTATTACGTTATGTTCTACTATCTTATATTGGGTTTTTGGCTAGCACACAGCTTCGGGCATGCGCTGAGTCCTCACGCACTTTTGACACCAGCAACGTGCCCATGCCGGCTCCAGTGCCTGCCACCCACGCCCACTCTGCCCACAATCCCTTAAACTCATCCGACCTCTGAGTATGAACAAGTGACCGGCACAAGGACCCCCCGATGCCTCCTCCAAGGGAATGGCAGAGCTGGAAGCCTTGCAGACAGTCGCAGCCCTCAGCTTCTTTCCTCACCACGTCCAGAACGCTGTCGATCAACTCGGCACCTTCGGTGTAGTGTCCCTTTGTCCACAGGAACCATCGCGGTTTAGAGGTTTGAGGTTTAGGGTTTAAAGTTTAGCATTCAAGGCATGGGGTGGCGTGATGGCAAAAAACCAAACCAGGCATGTAACCGCCACATTCTCAGGTCAAATGCGACAGCAAATCCGAACAAAGCCAAGTGTCTTTGGCCCAATTGTTGCCTTTTGTAGGGTTTGGGGCATTGGGGCTTCGGTTTTGGGTTTTGGGTTTGAGGCCTGCTTGGGTTTAGCAACAATGTTTGCCTGCCCCAGTCTGACCGAACACAAAGTTGTCAGGACGGAACAATTGGCCGAAAGGTCCAGCTCGAACACTGTCCATGGTGCCTGCAGGGTTCAGGGTTTAGGGTTGTTAAGGGCATCTTCCCAGATCAATCTTCGATGTGATTGCCTCCAGACTCTTAGGTTTCCGGCTTATGGTAAAGGCTTAGGGCCTTTGGGGTTTAAGGTTTAGGGTTCTGGCGTTCAGAGCTTCTCGGGTTTATACTATAACACAGCTTACGGCAAGGATTTCATTAGCAGAAGCCTGGTTCAAGATCCATCAAGACTGCGCGGGGCACATAGCGGCCGCCAGTAGCTTCGTTGAAGTAGACGTTGATCCTTGCGGCTTCAACATTGAGAGCTTGGCCTAACCTGACTAACTACCCAGACACCCGGGAAGATCCAAAAAGTATATCCCCAAGTGCCCCAAATCCCTAAATACCTACATCCCCCAAAATTTCCGTAAATCCCTAAACCCTAAACCCCTAGATCCATAAATCCCCAAATCCCCAAATCCCCAAAATTCCCTAAATTTCCCTAAACCCTACACCCCTAAATCCATAAATCCCCAAATCCCTAAACCGTGGAGGAACCCGCCGCGGTCCTCTCCAGTTGGAGGTCGGAGTCGCCATGATAGGTACCTCTGGTGGGTGAGGGTTCAGCGTTTAGCGTTTAGGGTCTAGGGCTTGGGGCTTGGGGCTTGGGGTTTAGGGTTTAGGGTTTAGGGCTTAGGGCTTAGGGCTAAACGTTTCGGGTTTCGGGCTTAGGGCTTAGGGCTTTAGGGGTTTAGGGCTTGGGGCTTAGGGTTTAGGGCTTAGGGTTTAGGGCTTGGGGCTTAGGGCTTAAGGTTTAGGGTGTAGGGTTTAGCGTTTAGTGTTTAGG